TTTTATTTCTGATTCTAGAGAGGTGGGCGGTGGTGGTGTTCTTTGAAACCAGTCAGTGTAATTAACCAGCCTGTCCTCTGCCTTTCTCCCATAGGTTGATATGGGAAGTCTGGATGCCTTTTGTTCGAAATATTGTCACTCAGTGGCAGCCAAGGAACTGTGACCCGATGGTGGACTTTTTGGATAGTTGGGTGCACATCATTCCTGTGTGGATCTTAGATAACATACTGGACCAACTCATCTTCCCCAAGCTGCAAAAGGAGGTGGGGTGAGAGTCACAGGAACAGCTGTCATCACTAACCACAGGGACTTGTTCAGTCTACGTCTTCATTATCTCAGTGCTGTTAAAACGCCTGGAATTAACAGAATTTGCCAACACAACTGTTGACCTAGAGTGTTAATTCCAGCCTTTTTCTCAGCACTTTTCCCCCCAAGCCACCCTCAGGAGGGAATTCATTTTCTTGATTTCTTCACTAAAATTAGAATTATGCTATTTCTGAGATGTAATCAAATGAATGGGCATATTTGTTTGGCGATGTACAAAGGACCATGGGCCTTGGAGAGCATGGGGCCTCCTCCAGGGGCAGCTCTTGCCTTTAACCACGTGGGTGTTATGTGACTGCCCAACAGGCGACATGAACTGTTTCTTCTCCCCACGTTGCAGGTGGAAAACTGGAACCCGCTCACAGACACTGTTCCCATCCACTCTTGGATCCACCCATGGTTGCCCCTTATGCAGGCACGGCTGGAGCCGCTCTATTCCCCCATCCGTAGCAAGCTGTCCAGTGCCCTGCAGAAGTGGCACCCCAGCGACTCCTCTGCCAAGCTCATCCTCCAGCCCTGGAAAGATGTCTTCACTCCTGGCTCCTGGGAAGCATTCATGGTCAAAAACATAGTGCCCAAGCTGGGTAAGGATATGGGGAAAATGCAGTCCAAGCCCAGCAGCTTTGGTGCCCTGGTTTCTGTGGTCAGTGGTGATTTAAACCATAGCCTTTGTATTCATGAAAGTGCTTAGTACACAATATTCCTTGCTGTTCAGAGGCTGAACATAAATGTAACTTGGGTCCTTTCCGCTGTTTATTTACAACAGCGACTAATAGTTGACAGTAACATCGGACTCTGTGCCTTGTGGTTTTCCTGATTGGCTTTGGCTTCTGGTAACAGGACAGCCATTGGAGTTCTGAAATTTTTGTGGTATTTTATTCTAAATTATTAGGGAGTTATTTCTGGGTTAGCAAAAAAAAAAAAAAAAAAAAAAAAAAAAAAAAAAAAAAAAAAAAAAGGCATTTTTTTATTC